TAATAATAATAAGCTGCTTCTCTGCTGCGTCCTCCTGCTCGTACAAGGCGTACAGCTTTTGAAACCTTTGTCCAAGCAAAGTACCATCATTATATTAATAATAATAAATGCTATTTATTATTTATTAAAAAGATAATAATCGGATGTCTAGTGATTATCGTTCTTGCCTAGTGCCTTCTGTTTTGCAATACTGTTAATACTTGTGATTTGTACGGTTAGTTTTGTCTTCGCATACCTGCCTGAAGTTGTTATATTTGGCAGAAAGAAAGGCATTTCTTTTGTTTCAATAAATTTACGTTACTCTCAGCATGATTTAAGATTTGTAGGTCGTTTTTGGACGAGTCGGAAACAAGTGTATTATGTCGTCATGTGTGTGGTGTGCAGCAAAAGTGTGAGCGAGAACGCACTCCCGTGCACGAGAAGCGGAATTGCGTGTGAGTGAACTGTGTTGTAGCGTGAGACGGTAGTGTTAGTCTGGTTAGACACCGGCCGGTGGTTAGTGAGTGTGGACCGTAAAAATTCGTACAAGAGGATTTATAGCTGAAGAAGAATATCTCCGTGACATGACGTGCGTATAGGTAAGAACCAGCGATCTTGATACATGATTTATTCGTACATATGGCTGTGTGACATAGCCCAACACGTGCTGGATCTGTGCAACTGTACAGCCGAAAACTGCTGGACACTAGAGCTGGATCCTGCTCGCCAAATCTGAGAATGGCGATTTAGTCGGCTTCAAAGAATCGCGAGTATGTGAGCGCTCGTGGAACACTAAGCCTTGTGCTCGTGTCTAGACGGTTAGTATAAGAACATATAGGCTCGTGTATAACGAAACAGAGTCACATCAATGCCACTTTGCGAGTCCCACTCTTGTTGCCCCACCACCCCTCGTTGTGCAGCTCTACTGACCTCAATTAGCGACCCCATAAATTCACTCCCTCCCCCACCCTACATACACACCCCATGATTCGCTAAAACAATGGCTCTATAAAATTCCTTCTGTCTATGGGTTGGAACCCGTTCATTTTGTTTTAATAGGGGGGTTAGATTATACCATCTTTTGTAAAATAAGGGGAGCCGTGCTAAGTGTCCCGTTCCATGTTCCCTTCTTGTGCTCGTGACAACCGAGTAGCACTAGGCCTATAGATCAACTGTGCAGCTGAAAACTGTTGGACGAGCACGACTCACCGAAGCGATCTCTCCGCTCAGACTGTCGGCCTTCTTGGTATCCACCTTCCTGACCTCGTCCACATGGTCCCTGGCCACCTGCCACTGTTGCAGAAGCTGTGGAGTTGAAAAAATCCCCTGTTGTTTTAGTAAAAGTTTTACGGCACTGGCAGCACAGTTAGGTCATATTATTAATGCTGAAGATTAGAGATGTTTCAAGAGAGTAACAGACACAAATAAAGGAGGGGAGGTAAAGACGATAGATGTTTGATAGGAAAGAAGGAGCAAGCTAACCGCACCATGGCACCCGCTGACCACCCCCCAACCACCCACCTTGGTAGTTTTGTGCTGCTGGTTCTTCTTAATGCGCTTCTTGGCGGCTAGGAACTTCTTGTGCCCCCCCCCCCCCCCCACCAAAAAAAACCCCAAAACTATTCCCTCCTGTTTAAAACAGAGCCCCCCTCCCCCTGTGGGTTTGACATAAAGGGGCCACCAGCCCCGGGGCTTAGCGCATCTGTGCTGAGGGGACTACTCCAGGAGCGGGTTGGGGGGCAAGAATTTCTGTGTTTGTTTGATGACCTTCCGAGCCCCCCCCAACCACCCTTTTGTTCTGAAAAAGAGACCCTACCACCCATCCCCCACCCCACTTACCTTGAGAGGGTAGTCTTGTGCCGGCGGTTTCTTTCTAAAGCGGATCCTTGGGCAGAAACTTCTTGTGTTCGTTGTTGTACTTGCTGGGGAACTCCTGGCCACGCAGATACGCCTCCGTCCTCCTCAAGTTCGTTTTGAGGGACGGCCTTCGGCCCCCTGTTGTTGCTGGTGGGGCCAATGGTCAACCGGGGGGTGTGTGTGTGTGTGTGTGTGTGTGTGTGTGTGTGTGTGTGTGTGGATGGGGAGTTGGGGGGGGGGGGGGGGGAAGAAAAGAACAAGCAAATTTGTTTTTAAAATGTGATAGAAAGAAAGTTTTAGTTTCAGTTTAGATTTAGTTAAGTTTTAGAGTTTAGTTTTAGTTTAAGTTTAGTTAAAGAAGAAAAAAACAAACTTGGTTTTAAAATGTGGGAGAAAGAAAGAATGAAAGTTTTAGTTTTAGTGGAGATTTTACGGCACTTGCAACACAATAAGGCCATATAAGTGCCGCCAAAGAATAGAGGTGTTACAACAGAGTAACAAACACAAAAAAGAAGGAGAGGAGATAGATGTTTGATAGGAAAGAAGAAGCAAACCAGAGCATCCGCCAACCACCCACCCACCACCTATGATTTCATCATGATTAGACAGTCGACGCCAACAACAAAACACCTCCACCGTGCTATAAATAGAAAAACAGTGAGAACTATTCTGAGAACACGGACACCTGATGCTCATTACGAGAACGCAAGCTCGGTGAACAAACACCTACGTAACAATACGCGACCCCCCAGTACTTTCTTTTCACATCTCCATTTTTGTTTGTTAGTTTTAGTAGAGGTTTTACAGCGCTCGCAACTGCATAAAGTCATATGAGCGCCAAGGGGTGGGTGTCAACAGAGAAGTCCTTACAGGGAATCAGACTTACTCTGCTCACCTCTCTAGTTTCAACAGCACAAAGTCACTGGCGCTCATATGACCTTATGCAGTTGCGAGTGCCGTAAAACCCTCTACTATAATTTTTTTAAAAAGTCTGCTTTGACT